TCCCTGTCTGTGCCAGTTTGGCGCAGCAAGCCGGGAAAGGGAGACCCCGCTGCTAGCAATCATGCGGCGCTATTCGAAGAGAATGCCAGAGCAGATGTTACGGGTTTTGGTCATTTTTATCTTCTCTCCACGGTACAGTGCCGAGCTGAACGAGGAAGGAGCCCTGGCCACGAAGAAAGAGACCAGCTGCCAGAGAGAGCCTCCTCTGCGGAGGCCCGGGCTCAGCCACACACCTCAGCCCTGGCCTCACGCTCCCACAACACGTTCACCTGAACCGTTAATTTGATAAATAAAGTCTGTCACCTGGACAGAGTGCAGAAGAGCAGGATTTTACCTCGGCTTCCTTTTCACTGACCTCGGCATGTGCTGAGGCCTCCCTGCTGCCAGAGCTGACCTAGGCAAAAGGGTGCATTAGCCACCTCCTAACTGCTTTAGAAGACAGTTAGAGAAGGAAGTGTTCAAAACATCATTTTTATGGAATGGAGGAGCAAATCCTTATTTTTAAAGGTCAGGAGTCTGGCTGTAACAAGCAATGCAATTACGTGCAATGGCAAGAGCTGTCCTTGAGGCCTATAATAAATACAGCTTCCAAAGAATTATAGTTTGTAGCATAGGTAGGCTGTTAGGCCCATCTTTGTTGTATCAGAGCGTTATCCAGATCACATGACAAATTAGGATCACCACATAGGACACAGAGATGTACCAGCTATACAATTACACTTTTAAAAGGCAGAAATGCAGTTCCCTTAAGGAAAATGACTTATGTATCTGCAACAGTATTCCACAAAATATCCTATGAAAGGTATAATTACAGAAACACACCTGAGACAATAACTAAATTACTATTTTAGATAATTCATGCCTAAGAATCTCTTTTATATGTTAAATATTACTTAAAACTAGTATAGTATAAGGACATGTAAATACCTCCCATCCTTAGTTAAGAGTCTAAATTCTACTTAGCAAGTACTGATTGAAAGATGCTCGCATCTATTAGAAGTGAATATTAAATCAG